AAGGAAACAGTTGACAAAAACAAAAGAAAACTGATAGAATGAAGAAGACATTTGCAAATGTCATATCAGATAAAAGGCTAGTATCCCAAATCTATAAAGAACTTATCAAATTCAACACCCAAAGGACAAATAATCCAATCAAGAAATGAGCAGAAAATACGAACAGACATTTCTCCAAAGAAGACATACAAATGGACAACAGACACCTGACCTGAAAAAATGTTCCACATCACTCGGCATCAGGCAAATACAAACCAAAACAACAATGAGATACCACCTCACACCAGTCAGAATGGCTAAAATCAACAAGTCAGGAAACAACAGATGTTGGCACGAATTTGGTGAAAGGGGAACCCTCTTACACTGTTGGTGGGAATGCCAGCTGGTGCAGCCACTCTGGAAAATGGTATGGAGGTTCCTCAAAAGTTGAAAATAGAGCTACCCTATAACCCAGCAATTGTACTACTATTTACCCCAAAGATACCAATGTAGTGATCTGAAGGAGCACCTGCACCCCAATGTTTATAGCAGCAATGTCCACAATAGTCAAACTATGGAATGAACCCAGATGTCCATCAACAGATGAATGAGTAAAGAAGATGTGGTATAGATATACAGTGGAATACTACTCAGACATAAAAAATGAATCTTGCCATTTGCAATGACATGGATAGAATTAGAGGGTATTAAACTAAGCGAAATAAGTCAATCAGAGAAAGATAATTTTATTATATTATCTCCCTCATATGTGGAATTTAAGAAACAAAACAGAGTATCATAGGAAAATGGAGGGAAAAATAAAACAAGATGAAATCAGAGAGGGAGACAAACCATAAGAGACTCTTAAGCATAGGAAACAAACCGAGGGTTCATGGAGGGGAGGGGAGGGGAGGGGGAGATGGGGTATTAAGGAGGGTACTCGAGGTAATGAGCACTGAGTGAAAGTAAAATTCATTCAGACTGATGAATCACTGGGACACTTGGGTGGCTCAGCGGTTGAGCATCTGCCTTCGACTCAGGGTGTGATCCTGGGATCCAGTATTGAATCTTGCATTGTGTTCCTTGCCGGAAGCCTGCTTCTCCCTCTGCCTGTATGTGTCTGTCTGTGTGTGTGTGTGTGTGTGTTTCATGAATAAATAAATAAAAAACAAGACTGATGAACCACTGAACTCTACCTCTGAATCTAATAACACACCAGATGTTAATTAATTGAATTTAAATAAAGAAAAAAAACGAAACACACAACTACCATATGACCCATATATTCCTGAGCATTTGTCCTGAGAAGTGAAAACTTATTTTCACCCAGAGCCTGTACATATTTATCCAGAACAGTTTTATTCATAATAGCCAAATGGCAAAAACAATCTGATACCTTTCAAATGGAGTAATGGTCAAACGAACTGTGGTACATACATACCATAGAATACTATTCAGCAATAAAAAGACATGAACTACTGATATATACAACAAAGACCTGGATAAATCTGCAGAGAATAATGCTGAGTGAAAAAAGCCAATTCCTACAACTTATGTACCATTCAATTTATATAATTTTCTTGAAATGACAGTAATATAGAAATGGAGAACAGATGACTGGTTACTAGAAGTTAAAGAAGGAGTGGAGATAGGAAGGAAGTGGATGTGTCCATAAGTGGGCAATATGAGGGATTCTTGAAATGATGGAAATATTCTGTATTCATGTCAATATCCCAGTTTTGATACAATACTACCACAATTTATAATAAGTTACCATTAGTGGAACTGGATAAGCGGTACAAAGAATTTCCTTTTATTATTTATGATTGCATGTGAATCTACAATGATCTCAATTTTATAAATTTAATTTTAAAAGTTGTCTGCAGTTTATTGCCTGCCCTGGGTGTGAACCACTCCAATTGCCCTGCCTTTGGAGGGCTACTATTTAATTCAAATTTCTTAGCAAAAAAAAAAAAATGACTCAATTGGTGTTGGATTTGGGTGTCCAAACACTATGATTTTAATGCAGGGGGGTACTAATATTTCAGTAGTATAAGGTTTTTGGTTATTTTCAGGGCCTTCAGTTGCTTACAGCATAGAGTGAAATACAAAAAAAAAATTTACCCACCATTTGCTTCAATGTGGATGGAACTGGAGGGTATTATGCTGAGTGAAATAAGTCAATCGGAGAAGGACAAACATTATATGGTCTCATTCATTTGGGGAATATAGATAATAGTGAAAGGGAATAGAAGGGAAGGGAGAAGAAATGTGTGGGAAATATCAGAAAGGGAGACAGAACATAAAGACTCCTAACTCTGGGAAACGAACTAGGGCTGGTGGAAGGGGAGGAGGGCGGGGGGTAGGGGTGAATGGGTGATGGGCACTGAGGGGGGCACTTGACGGGATGAGCACTGGGTATTATTCTGTAAGCTGGCAAATTGAACACCAATGAAAAATAAATTTAGTATTAAAAAATAAATAAATATTTTGTTTAAATTCAATTTGCCAACATATAGTATGACACCCAGTGCTCATTTCATCATGTGCCCTCCTCAGTGCCCCTTCCGCAACCCTGTTTCCCAGAGTTCAGAGTCTCTCATGGTTTGTCTTCCTCTTTAATTTTTCCCCACTCAGTTTCCCTCCTTTCCCTTATGGTCCCTGTATATAGGTGGTTTCTATGCATATGTATATATGCATACGCATATATAGGTTGCGTGTGTCCAGAATAAAATGAAACATTAACTACGGTAATTGTACAGATTACAAATTTAAGGATGATTTTCTTCTTTTTACTCATATATTTCTCAAGTTTTCTACCACGGCTATATATTTCCTCCCACCCTTTTTTTAGATGCTGTAAATTTTTCTTTATAACAAATTCACATAATATAAAATTCATCATTTTGAAAGTGTAAAAAAATTTTAAATGACTACGATGTAAGTGACCTAGAGGTGATGTATTTGTCTGCCTTTTGGGGGATTCACTGCCACCCATACATATCATTCTATATATAAGTTCTTGCAATCTATGCCTTGACATTTTGCCATGCTCCCCCAAGACACACAAACAGAAACAACAAGCCCTTTTCCTCCTTGCCCATGGGATAAAATATAATGTTTTTTTTTGCTGGTTTTTTTTTCAGTGCTCATCACCTCACCCAGTCCTTATCTTCCATATATGGCTTACTGTAGACTCTCTGATCTGACTCCCAACCCTGTAGGACCCCACCTTTCTCCCTTTTCATATATTTGCTTATTTCCTTCTTTCCTTCTTTCCTCTCCACATTCAGAGAATTCATGAACACACACATGTGCACACACACATCTTTTCACAATTTGTTGATTTTAATCATCATTATTGGCATATCCTGTAGATGCAAGATTTGTCTTCTAAACCACTGGGCATTTCTCAGGCGTCAGACTTTGGAGACTTCACAGGTAGTTTTGAGGTCTCTGGCCTCCCTCTGAAGCTACTGGCTGTCCAGGTCATCTCTTAAAGGGGTGAATTTCTCCATGCTTTTAGTCCTGCCCTGGCTCATTTTGATTCAGTCCCACATTTGGCTTATTATAAAGGCCTCATAGTGTTAGCCTTCTAGCATTGTTAGGTTTTCTTGAAGGAGTGGGAATTTTTGGAGAGAATTTTTTATTCTTGAACTCCCTTGAAGTTGTCTTGGGCACCTGGAATGACAACAGGGTGAGAACAGGACACTGGTTTCAGGAAAGATGATGGGGGGGTGGATGGGAACAAGGGCTTCATGAGAAGGAGTGTAGGCTGAGGAGAGGGTCTGCCAGGCAAGAACAGGGTAGGAGTTTGGGGGAGGTTTTAAAGAGTAAGGGAAAGAGCTTGGGTGTGGTCGTATCACCTTGACACTGACTGTGTCTGAACCTGAGTTAGAGGGCATCTTCCTCTTTTTCCTCCTTTTGATGCTTGGGGTTGGTTGTTCTACAACTTTGCTAGGGATTTGTGGTTTCCTGGTCACCTTTGCCTTGTCAAAATTTCCCAGTGGTCTACCCAGGGCTGTGACCTGCCTATATATGCCTACTTCTAGGACAATGAGAAGCCACACTCCTAGAGTTTGATTGGTAAGCAAGGCTCTCCTCTAGCCAATGGTAGCCCTGGGGAAGAGCCTTAGACATTGCCAAGAGCTATCCCAACCTGTCCTTGGGTAGGTGTGGTGCTGAGTAGACCAAGACGCAGCATAGACATAACAAAGCACAATCCTGACACCTCTGTGGTGGGTGTGGAGGGGTGGGTTTGAGGACATCAAGATGCTTTGGTTGGAGAAAAGGGACATTTCTTTAGCACCTCTAAAGAGCCATTTTAAACAGACTGACCTCTGCTCTTCACAACCCAACGGTTTAATTCCGGTGGGTCACATGACAGGAAGAGTGTTTCCAACAAAACTTTCCCCAAGACCACCCATTTTAGTGGTTCATTATGTTATCTCCCACCCTTCATTCACCATTGAATACAAGTAGTTTTTGTATGTCTTTCCTAAAATCTCTCCAAGGTAATATTGATGTATTTATGTTTCTGTGGAAATGTGAATAATCCACTTTCCTCCTAAAATTTCCCTTATGAACTTCTCTATGAAAACCACTCAGTTATGGCCACTACCAGGGAAAATTTTATTTCATGTCCTTTCCCCAGTGTCCATGTAGCTTTCCTCAATTTCCTGTTTTCAAGGTTGAAGTCACTGCCTTCAGGCTGTCTTCAGTGAATAGATTTGTTCAATTTGGTATCTCAGTCTTGTTTCAAATCTGAGAGAGTTGTGTTCATCTCAGTAGGAATGGTGCCCAGACTTGGGTTTTAACAGTGTAAAATGAATAAGGCTAAATGAATAACGCTAAAAGTATGTCTTAACGTTTGCATGTAGGAAACTATACTCACTCACCCTCCATCTCCCCAGGGAACTTGGGGAGTGAGAGCCATGATGTGAAGCTTACAGACTCCGAGGTGTGCAGGGGGAAGGGGCCCAACCCTGCTAGAGTCAAGGTAAGGACCCCAAAGAGGACAGATGGACCCCCGCCCTCCCTTCCCTCCCTCCACTCCCTCCACCTACCACACCCCGGAACCCATCTCTGCCCTACATGCTGTTAGCCCGCAACGGGGTCCGGATGTGACGTGCGCTGACTTCCGCCTCGGAGATCTGAGAGAGTGGAGAGACTTAGGCTGGGAGGCGGGATTGGGGTCCCCGGCCGAGGAAAGGAGGCCATGCGCGGGCCTAGCAGCAGCCAGGCGAGCAGGTAGCCCCAGGAGGGGGCCCGGACGGTGGCGGGGGGCCCCCGGGAGCCAGGCGGCCATGCTGGTAACCCCAAGAGACCACGCAGGGGAAGGTGGGGCCGCGGCCTCGAGCTGAGGCCTGGATGCTGGGGCTTGGGGCAGTGGTCTCGGGTCCCTGGAGGCAGGACGGGCCCGGGGCCCTCCCCGGAGCGGGGTGAGGACCTGACGGAGAACGGCGGGGGTCCCCCACCCCACCTTCATGCCTCAACCCACGGCCCGCCCTCCCCGAGAGACAGAGGCACTGGGCCCCCACCTCGGGGCTGGGGGGGCGGCCCTGGGGAGGCCGGACACACGCGGCCACCCGGGAAATGCGCCTCGGGGGGTGGGGGTGGGGACCGGAGCCCAGGGAGCTCAGGAGCCAGGTCCGAAGGGAGGTTTGCCAGGGCCTGAGGGGGGAGGGGCACAGGGGGTGCCTGTGGGGGAGGGGGCCCTGGAGCCCAGGACAGAGGGGATCTGGCAGGAGGTCGCCAGGGATGGGAGGCCTGGGAGGCCCCCTGGGCAGGCTGGGGACCTGCCTTCGGGTGGGCGGCCGGGCGGCCAGACTGCCACATCCGGGTCTCCAGAGAGACTGGGGTCCCCTGGCTTCAGGTGCAGGGCCTCGGACAAGTGGGCACAGGGGAGGGCCCCGGATGCTGCTGGGATTCCCGGCGAGGATGCAGAGGGAGTATGGGGGGTGGACCCTGCAGGCCAGCGGAGTCAGTCCTGGGAAGGTCCGTTGCGGGGGTGAGTCCAGACTTCCGCATCCGGGTCTCAGAATAAGGGTCTCATGTAAGGATCAAACCTCAGGTGGTCAGAGGAAAGGGCCCAGGAGCTAATTGGAGTCAAAGTATGAACCCTGAGGGAGGACAGAGGCGACCACACAGAAGTTAGGTCCCAGTGTCTGTCTAGGAAGGCTCCTGGATGGGATGGGGACATGCGGCCAATCTGGCCAGTTCCACATCCTGGTCTTTGAGAGACTAAGGGCCTGTTGTCAGGAGTAGGGCCTCAAGTAGTCAGAGGGGATGGTCCAGGTCCTGCTGGGATTCCTGGTGAAGATGCAGAGGAAGGTTTGAGGGACCCTGGACCCCCAAACAGAGTCAGTCCAGGAAAGTTCCTGGTCGGGCAAGGTGGAGACAGGGACATGTAGGGAGTCCAGATTTCCACATCTGGGTCTCAGAGAGTCAGGAGTCCTGGTGTAAGGAGCAGGATGACAAGTCAGGAGAGAGGACAGCCTATGTCCTGCCAGGAGTCAGGGTGAAGACCCCAAGGTAGGACTGAAGGGACCCTTGACCCCAGAATAGAGGGGGCTCTCAGAATCGGGTCATAGCTGTCAGCCCCAGCAGGTCCCAGGCAGGAATCGGGGAGGGGTTGCCAATGTGTTAACTGAGTTCCTGCTTAAGCATCTGAGGGAAGTGAGGGTTCAGCATAGAGGGCTGTACTGTGGTGAACAGATGGAAAGGGCCCAGGCTTTGTCAGGAGACAGTGAGGACCATGAGAAAGGACTGGGTAAATCCATGTAAGAATACATGAAACCTCAGCCCTTCCTGCCCATTTCTGTCAGCCATGGGAGGACCTAAAGCTGTGGTGCTCCCTCTCTTCCATCTTTGGTCTCACATAAATGTGAGACTCTCATTTAAAGAGAGTGGCCTCAGGATAAGAGAGGGAAGCCCTGCTATGCATCAACATAGGGACAGAGCATGCATTCCCCCCCGCCCCCAGTCCCAGGACAGATGGACTCCACAGTGCTTGGCTGCCCCTTGCTGTTCCCCCTGAAAAACCTTTGCAGGTATGTCCAGATGTAGCTTCCCCTCACTTCCTTTCGTTCAGTATCAGAGGTCTTGTTCTGAGAGTTTTGTCTCAGGCCGGCAGAAGGAAGGGGTTCACATCCTGTCAGGGGAAAGGTGAGTCTCCTGAATGAGCATGGAGGGGACTATCCAGACTGAATTTTTGGGGACCTCACAGAGTCTGGCCCAGCCCTCCTGTCAGCCTTTGGGGTGAAGGGCTGTACTCGCAGTCTGCACTTTCACATGCCCTTTCCCTCCCTTTTACAGGGGATCCAGGAATTGGGTAATAGGGCCTTGGCCTCAGTGTAAGACATGCATTCTCAGGTCAAATAGCCGAGGAGGACCGGGCAATGCCAGGAGTCAAGGTGAGGTGATGCTCTAATGTGGAGCCAGGGGTTTCCCCATCCCAGAACAGAGGGGACCCCACAGCACCCAAGCCCACCCAAGCTCATTGTCAGTACCAGAACCTCAGACCCTGCTGGCTGCACCCTGAGGAACTGGCTCACTTCTTTCTTCAGGTTCTCAGGGGACAGGCCTCCCAAGAGGAGAGACCCCTGTGAGACTCTAGAGCACCCCTAAAGAGGAGACTCCTGAGATGCCTTTGTTAGAGTCACCAAGGATGTGTTTCTCAGCTGAGACCTCTCATGCTCCCTCTCTTCCGCAAGCCCATAGGTCCCATCACCCCCTCCTGTGCATACTGTGCCAACAGTAATCATTATTCCCACTCCAAAGTGTTGGTGTCACATGCTTGAAGAACACCTTTAGTCCCAAAGTGTGACACAGGGTCTTTTGGGGACACAGGTTCCTGAAGCTAAGGAGAATGCAACCTCCTTCTTCTCCTCCTATTCCTCCCCTTTTTCTTTCTCTTCTTCCTTCTCATCCTCCTCTTCCTATTCCTCCTCTTCCTCTTCCTTCTGTTACTTTCTGATCCCAGGCACTATGAAGATTTCTGCTGCTTCTGGATCACCAGGTCTTCTCCAGAGTCCTCAGAGAGCCTGCTCCTCCCCCACTGCCATAGAAGTCACTCCATCAATCAGATCAGATCAGGGCTCCAGAAGCCAAGAAGAGGACGGGCCAAACACTTTGCAGTCCCTGCCAGAAACTGTGCTCTTACTTGAAGATGCCATAGATGATAAGGTAGCTGACCTGGTGGCATTCCTGCTTCTCAAGTATAGAACAAACGAGCTGACCACACAGGCAGAAATGCTGAAAACTGTCAGCCAAGATTACCAGGAGCTCTTCCCTGTGATCTTCAGCCAAGCCTTTGAGTGCATGCAATTGGTCCTTGGTGTTGATGTGAGGGAAGTGGATTCCAGTGATCATGCCTATGTCTTAGTTACTGCCCTGGGCCTCACCTGCGATGAGATGCCGAGCAGTGAGCAGAGTGTGCCCAAGACTGGCCTCTTGATAAATATCCTTGGTGTGATCTTTATGTATGGCAACTGTGCCCCTGAGGAGGATGTCTGGGAAGTGCTGGGAGTCATGGGGGTGTACGATGGTCAGGAGCACTTCATCTATGGGGAGCCCAGGGAACTCCTCACCAAAATCTGGGTGCAGGAAGGCTACCTGGAGTACCGGCAGGTGGCGGGCAGCAACCCTGCCTGCTACGAGTTCCTATGGGGTTCCAGGGCCCATGCCAAAACCAGCAAGATGAAAATCTTAGAGTTTTTGGCCAAGGTCAATGATACCATCCCCAGTGCCTTTCCTGTCTGGTATGAGTAAGCTTTGAGAGATGAGGAAGTGCGATCCCAAGCCAGGGTTGCAGCCAGGGATGTAGTGGGAGGGCCAGCACCAGGGTCAGTTTTAGGGCCATATCCAGCAGCTTGTCTTGCTCCAAGGGAAGTCTGAGGCAGTTATTTCATTTTGTGTTTGAAGAAAGCAGTCACTGGTATAAGTGTTAAAGAGGCAGAATTGGGTTTGGTGGTGGTGGTAGGGTTGGGTGTATAACATCTTTGTGTGCTTGTTCCATAAGAATGATTTGGAATTTCCTCCTTTTGGTATTTTTCAAATGTTGCTCCTATTAATGGAAGATTTAATTAACATCAAGTACTAAGTTTATAAATGACATTAGTCACAAATATATTGCTACTTACTCCATTTAATAAGTATCTTGTGTGTTTTATACTTAGTTATATTTATTTCTTTTGTCTTTAACTTTCATACTAGCTTTATAAGCAATTAATCCACTACCTTTACTATATATTTAATTTTACTGGTGAGATTTATACTTTCATATGTTTTCTTGTTACTAATTAGTGTGCTTTCTTTTTTTTAATAAATTAATTTTTATTGGTGTTCAATTTACCAACATACAGAATAACACCCAGTGCTCATCCCGACAAGTGTCCCCCTCAGTGCCCGTCACCCATTCACCCCCACCCCCTGCCCTCCTCCCCTTCCACCACCCCTAGTTCATTTCCCAGAGTTAGAAGTCTTTATGTTCTGTCTCCCTTTCTGATATTTGCTCTCCCTTCCCTTATATTCCCTTTCACTATTATTCATATTCCCCAAATGAATGAGAACATACACTGTTTGTCCTTCTCCGATTGACTTACTTCACTCAGCATAATACCCTCCAGTTCCATGAGAAAATGCTCTGCATCACTTGCCATCAGGGAAATACAAATCAAAACCACAATGAGATCCCACCTCACACCAGTGAGAATGGGGAAAATTAACAAGGCAGGAAACAACAAATGTTGGAGAGGATGCGGAGAAAAGGGAACCCTCTTACACTGTTGGTGGGAATGTGAACTGGTGCAGCCACTCTGGAAAACTGTGTGGAGGTTCCTCAAAGAGTTAAAAATAGATCTGCTCTAGGACCTAGCAATTGCACTGCTGGGGATTTACTCCAAGGATACAGATGCAATGAAACGCCGGGACACCTGCACCCCGATGTTTCTAGCAGCCATGTCCACAATAGCCAAACTATGGAAGGAGCCTCGGTGCCCATCGAAAGATGAATGGATAAAGAAGATGTGGTTTATGTATACAATGGAATATTCCTCAGCCATTAGAAACGACAAATACCCACCATTTGCTTCAACGTGGATGGAACTGGAGGGTATTATTAGTGTGCTTTCTTAAGGAAATCCCTATAACATTTCTGGCCAGTTCAGTGGTGATGAACATCTTGAGCTTGTGCTTGTCTGGAAAACCATTTATCTTTCCTTCAATTTTGAGCCATGACTTTGCTGGGAAGAGTATCTTGGTTTGAAGGTTTCTTTTTTCTTTCAACACTTTGGGTATATTGTGCCACTCTCATCTGCCCTGCAAAGTTTTTGCTGAAAAATCAGTTGATAGTGTTATGGGAGTTCCTCATAACAAGTTGTTTTTCCCTTGCTGATTTGAAGATTTTCTGTGTTTTGCTATTTTGTAAAACAAATTAGGAAACCTTCCGTCTCACTTTGAGATGTGGAACAAGATAACATAGCATTGGAAAAGAAGTTTCCTTAAAAATGTGAAAGAAGTCAGCGATAAAACAGATGGAGTCAAGAAATAGAGAAACAAATGGGGCACCTGGATGGTTCAGTTGGTTAAGTGTTGACTCCTGATTTTGATTCAGATCATGATCTCAGGGTTGTGAGATCAAACCCTGTGTCAGGCTCATGTGCTGGGCACGGAATCTGCTTGAGATTCTCTCTCTCCTTCTCCCCCTGCCCTTCCCCCCTGTAAAAAAAAGAAATAGAAAAAGTAAAATTTAGTTAATTATTGCTTTCTGTTCTCCCTTGGAGTGTATCATTCTATAAAATTAAAAGCTGTATTTATCATGGTGAACATGGAATAATGTATAGGATTGGGTTTTTAAATGTTTTTACTTAAATTCCAGTTAACATACAGTGTAATTTCAGGTGTACAATTTAGTGATTCAACACTTTTATACAACACTGATGCTCAACAGGACAAGTGGACACCTTAATCCCCATCACTCATTTCACCCATTCCCCTACCCACCTCCCCTCCACAAACCTTTAGTTCTCCAAAGTTAAGAGTCTATTTCTTGGTTTGCCTTTCTCTCCTTTTTTCCTTTTATCAATTTTTGTTTCTTAGATTCCACATTTGAGTGAAATCATATAGTATTTGTCTTTCTCTAACAGACTTTTTTACTTAACATAATACACTCTAGTTCCACCCATGTCATTGCAAATGGCAAGATTTCATTCTTTTTGATGGCTGAGATATTCTGTGTGATTGTGTGTGTGTGTGTGTGTGTGTATACACCACAAGTTCTTTATACATTCATCAGTTGATGGACATTTGAGCTGTTTCCATAATTTGGTTATTGTAGATAATTCTCTTATAAACATTGAGGTGCGTTTATCCCTTCAAATTATTATTTTTGTGTTCTTTGATAAACACCTAGTATGTAGTTGCTAGATCATAGGGTAGTTCTACTCTAGAAAACAGTATGGAGGGTCCACAAAAAAATTTTAAAGTTAAAAATGGAATTGTTGAATCACTATGATTATATAACTGAAACTAATATAACATTGTATGTTAACTATACTTCAATTAAAAAATATATACCAGGATATACTTGACTAATTCAAAAGTGTCTCAGATATTAAATCTTAATAAATAAGACCCCTGCTCCGGGGTTATTTTATTCCCCATTCATTAAGTAGGCACTGACTGTTTAGAAGGCCTGGTGTAAATGGTGAGGATGCTAGCATACACAAGACACCCTCCCCCCCGCCACATTCCATACAATTATAAAGTCTAGGAGCAGAAAACATATCAGGACAATAGTGAGATAATTTCTAACTCCTAAATAAGAAACAAAAGAAGGGATGAGAAAGGGGGGTGTACAGGTAATAATCAAATGTAGATGTCTCAAGCCTGGGAAGTTTGGAATTGTGCAAAACTGCGATTCCTTTTGTAGGAGTTAATTATAGTGAAGTTGAGGGGAGCCAGCAGCCAGATTCACACACGCTGTGTCTTAGGACTGAAAGAGGAGCCAGGAATAGAAAACTCAACTTAGCAGGGTGTTTGATTCTTTCTTTATGATTAGTGGTTAAACCAGAAAAGAATCTCTAACTGACGTAGATAGGAAGCACTGCACTCTTGTCCTGGTGCAGTGGAACAGTGTACAGACTAGGTGTTTTTTTTTTTTTAAGATTTTGTTTATTTCTTCATGAGAGACACAGAGAGAGAGACATGCAGAGACACAGGCAGAGGGAGAAGCAGGCTCAATGCAGGGAGCCTGATCCGGGACTCGATCCCAGGACTCCAGGTTCACAACCTGGAACAAAGGCAGATGCTCTACCACTGAGCCACCCAGGCATTGCTGAACTAGGAGTTTTATATGCATCATGTGCAGGGATTTCTGGGGAAATACAGTCCTATATTCCTTTGAAGGAGCTCCGAAGACTCTCGACTAACTCTCTTGTTCCTGACCACGGAAAGTCAGAGCCCATGGCATCAAAAAGACATTTTAATTTGGTTCTCTCGAGTGCCATCGGAACAGCTGTACATCAGCAAGGTCTAGGTTTGGGCGGGGAGAATTGAAGGAAAGCAGTGGTTTGGGTGCAAGAGCAGCCGGGAGGGAGGGAAGGAGTCGGTCTTTGACTCGAACTGTAGGCTTGTCGCGCCTCTGTGTTGTATCCTGCTGGGACAACTCTCTGCACCCGAGTTCCACACCTCGCCTCCTATAGCCCACGTACAGCCCCTGATTTAGAAAATGGATTAAGTTTCATATTTGAAGCACCTTCTCTGGCCGATTCGCTGTTCCAGGTCAGGTTGAGCTGCAGGCACTCTAACTCTGGCCGGGCTAACAAAACCTATCCCAGAGGAGAGAGCGGGAAGCCCCGGGGTCAGGACAGCATTCAACATAGCTGCCGTTCATCCAGGTTCCAATATATGCCAGATGCCATGCAAGGTGCTTCCCATCCCCGACACACATTCCTGCCGTCCGACGGGGCAGGGTGGCTCCAAACCACATACTTCAGAGGTGACAACCCCGAGGCTCTCAGGGTTGGTCCTTGTCCCAGGATCACATGGCTGGTGAGTGACGACGCGGAGACTAGAACCCTGGTGTGAAGCCGTGTCGAGTCCACGCTGTCCCCTCCCTGCCCAGCCTGTGGCCTGCCTTCTGACTCCTACATCAGGAGTGGGGACAGCGTGGTGTCTCCCAGGTGACAAAAGGGAGGATGCCGTGGCGAAGGTTCTGAGACCCGGGCTAAGGAAGGCAGGTGATAATGAGAATCAAACAGGATTTGGGTCATGTCTGTGGGCTTGTTAACCTAGAGTTCTTGTGTCTGAGCCCCAGAGATCTTTTTTTTTTAATAAATTAATTTTTATTGGTGTTCAATTTACCAACATGCAGAATAACACCCAGTGCTCATCCCGTCAAGTGTCCCCCTCAGTGCCCGTCACCCATTCACCCCCACCCCCCGCCCTCCTCCCCTTCCACCACCCCTAGTTCGTTTCCCAGAGTTAGGAGTCTTTATGTTCTGTCTCCCTTTCTGATATTTCCCACACATTTCTTCTCCCTTCCCTTATATTCCCTTTCACTATTATTCATATTCCCCAAATGAATGAGAACATACACTGTTTGTCCTTCTCCGATTGACTTACTTCACTCAGCATAATACCCTCCAGTTCCATCCACGTTGAAGCAAATGGTGGGTATTTGTCGTTTCTAATGGCTGAGTAATATTCCATTGTATACATAAACCACATCTTCTTTATCCATTCATCTTTCGATGGGCACCGAGGCTCCTTCCACAGTTTGGCTATTGTGGACATGGCTGCTAGAAACATCGGGGTGCAGGTGTCCCGGCGTTTCATTGCATCTGAATCTTTGGGGTAAATCCCTAACAGTGCAATTGCTGGGTCGTAGGGCAGGTCTATTTTTAATTCTTTGAGGAACCTCCACACAGTTTTCCAGAGTGGCTGCACCAGTTCACATTCCCACCAACAGTGTAAGAGGGTTCCCTTTTCTCCGCATCCTCTCCAACATTTGTTGTTTCCTGCCTTGTTAATTTTCCCCATTCTCACTGGTGTGAGGTGGTATCTCATTGTGGTTTTGATTTGTATTTCCCTGATGGCAAGTGATGCAGAGCATTTTCTCATGTGCATGTTGGCCATGTCTATGTCTTCCTCTGTGAGATTTCTCTTCATGTCCTTTGCCCATTTCATGATTGGATTGTTTGTTTCTTTGCTGTTGAGTTTAATAAGTTCTTTATAGATTTTGGAAACTAGCCCTTTATCTGATATGTTATTTGCAAATATCTTCTCCCATTCTGTAGGTTGTCTTTGAGTTTTGTTGACTGTATCCTTTGCTGTGCAAAAGCTTCTTATCTTGAAGAAGTCCCAATAGTTCATTTTTGCTTTTGTTTCTTTTGCTTTCGTGGATGTATCTTGCAAGAAGTTACTGTGGCCAAGTTCAAAAAGGGTGTTGCCTGTGTTCTCCTCTAGGATTTTGATGGAATCTTGTCTCACATTTAGATCTTTCATCCATTTTGAGTTTATCTTTGTGTATGGTGCAAGAGAGTGGTCTAGTTTCATTCTTCTGCATGTGGATGTCCAATTTTCCCAGCACCATTTATTGAAGAGACTGTCTTTCTTCCAGTGGATCATCTTTCCTCCTTTATCGAATATTAGTTGACCATAAAGTTCAGGGTCCACTTCTGGATTCTCTATTCTGTTCCATTGATCTATGTGTCTGTTTTTGTGCCAGTACCACACTGTCTTGATGACCACAGCTTTGTAGTACAACATGAAATCTGGCATTGTGATGCCCCCAGATATGGTTTTCTTTTTTAAAATTCCCCTGGTTATTCGGGGTCTTTTCTGATTCCACACAAATCTTAAAATAATTTGTTCTAAGTCTCTGAAGAAAGTCCATGGTATTTTGATAGGGATTGCATTAAACGTGCAAATTGCCCTGGATAACATTGACATTTTCACAATATTAATTCTGCCAACCCATGAGCATGGAATATTTTTCCATCTCATAGTGTCTTCCTCCATTTATTTCAGAAGTGTTCTATAGTTTTTAGGGTATAGATCCTTTACCTCTTTGCTTAGGTTTATTCCTAGGTATCTTATGATTTTGGGTGCAATTGTAAATGGGATTGACTCCTTAATTTCTCTTTCTTCAGTCTCATTGTTAGTGTATAGGAATGCCATTGATTTCTGGGCATTGATTTTGTATCCTGCCACGCTACCAAATTGCTGTATGAGTTCTAGCAATCTCGGGGTGGAGGCTTTTGGGTTTTCTATGTCCAGTATCATGTCATCTACGAAGAGGGAGAGCTTGACTTCTTCTTTGCCATTTTGAATGCGTTTAATGTCTTTTTGTTGTCTGATTGCTGAGGCTAGGACTTCCAATACTATGTTGAATAGCAGTGGTGAGAGTGGACATCCCTGTCTTGTTCCTGATCTTAGGGGAAAGGCTCTCAGTGCTTCCCCATTGAGAATGATATTTTGAGCCCCAGAGTTCTTCGGGAACTGGCTGCCCAGGTGCTGGCAATGTTTGCAGACTTAGCACTTTCCCGATTGGCAGCTCCTTCCCCTGGTTTTCCCCTCGTGTTCTTCTGTCTACCTCTTGGACCTGGCCCGCTAATGAGTCATCATTGGTCTGCGTAGAACAGGTAGGAATCACCTTGTCTCCCCCGACACAGAACCTTACTCTGCAGTAGCCTCTGGCCATTAAATGCATAAAGCGAATCGTCCCCGCTGAGATTACAGAATCATTTGAAAACTAGACGTGGTCCTCTATTTGGAAGTAGGTGTCACACAAGAGATGCTTGAAAAAGTTCAAAGAATTCCAAGGCAAATGTGACCTCAGAAACTCCTCCCAGGGATACAGTCAGTTGTCACAACAAATCACGTAGTCGTGTTTGGTTGAGCACCTACTGTGTAACAATAGTGTCCCTGGCTCAGGAGGCCTCCCGGGGCTTCTGAGGTCGTGGTGTAGCAGGGGCGCGAGTCATGTGCTGTGGCATGATGGCTGGCCTGTGCCACCAGGACTGGCCCAAGGTGCACATGTTTGCGGGGTGGGTGGGAATCCTGTGGAGATGGCGCCTTTTCTTATTCAACTGGCGAGGAAGGGTGGGCTCCAGGGCAGGAGAAGGCGCGTGCATGGGCTGAGAATCTCCTGATAGACCACGTTTCCTAGGAAGGAAGCACCGTGGACCATCCTGTGCAGAGCATCCCCACCTCCAAGATGGTGTTTGGACCTGGGAAGAGACGTCCATGGTGATACCCTCTTCTATATTAGTTTCCCTTGGAATTCTCGGGTATGTGAGCAGTTGGAGAACTGTGAGTTTTATCCATGAAGGTGGAAGGCCCAGGCAGGGGGCACGCTCCACATTCTGTGTCAGTGAATGACCCTACAGCAACTTGATTCACATACGCATATGTATATGTATGTATGTATGTATGTATGTATGCAATTTTTAAGGAAACATGGAAAAATTCCTCTGATAGGTGGATTTCTGGTTGAGTACAGGCATATATATGCCATTTTGGGTTACTTTTTTTTTATCATTTTGGATTACTTTTTAATACTCTGCTCCTGACATCCTTGTTAAGGCTGAGCATAGGTCCACCAGAATTCAACATTTACTTCCTCTAACCTTGCATCAGGCAGCTGGAAGCTCTGCAGTAACTAAAAGTACTCATGAAAAACAGAGCAAGGACAACTTTGGGTCCAGGAGGTAGCTTTCCATGAATCCGTCATAACGCCCTTTACCTAAGTGGAAAATGTCCATGATGCAGGGAGGACAGAGGGGACCTCACAGGGTTCAGGCCCCAGGGTCAGCCCAAAAGACCCCAGGGCTGCATGGAGACAAGGTCAAGTGTGACTTCTGCATCCAGGTCCCAGAGAGCCTGTGGGCCTGGTGGCAGGAGCAGATGTTCAGGCAGGAGAGGTGAGGGCCCTGGCGGGTATCGGGAGGGAAGGCAAGGGATGAAGCCGGAGGGAGGACAGAGGGAAGGAACCCCAGCAGGAGGCCATCAGCGATGTCAGGCCTGCATGGCCCCTGGGCTGGGAGGGGGAACCGCGGGGAGGGGGGCAGCACAGTCCGATTTCGACATCCGGGTTTCCCGAGAGACTGACGGCTCCTGGATTCAGAAGCAGGGTGTCCCTCAGGTGGACAGAGCGTGGACCCAGGTCCTCCTGGTGAAGATATGGAGGGATGATGGAGGGACTCGGGACTTCAGAAACGTCAGCCCGGGAAGGCCGCGCGGGAGCGGGATGGGGACAGATCGAGGCGGCAGGTGCGGCAGGCCTGGCACATCCAGGTAGCCAGAGAGCAGGAGGCCCGGTGTGGCGGGAGTAGATGCTGAGGGCGGAGGGAGGGTCGCGGGGCTAAGGGGAGGCGAGGGATGGACCATTGACAAGGACAAAGGGGCCCCGGCGAAGGTCAGGGCCCACGGTCACCCCGGGAAGGCCACGGAGGAGCGGGATGGGGCCAGATGGAGGCGGCAGGTGCGGCAGGCCTGGCACATCCGGGTAGCCAGAGAGCAGGAGGCCCGGTGTGGCGGGAGCAGACGCTGAGGATGGAGGGGAGGGTCCCGGGGCTATGGGGACTGAGGGATGGACCCTGAGGGGGACAGAAGGGACCCGGCGGAGGGCAGGGCCCACGGTCACCCCGGGAAGGCCGCGCAGCAGCGGGATGGGGCCAGATGGAGGCGGCAGGTGCAGCAGGCCTGGCACATCCGGGTACCCGAAGCCTGGGTGCAGAGCCTGGGTGTGGCGGGAGCAGATGCAGGTAGACGGAGAGGAGGGCCCCGGCGCGAAGCAGGAGGGGAGGCAAGGGATGGACTCTAAGGGGAACAGAGGGCACCTGGCAGAAGGTCTCCAGGGATGGGAGCACCCCCATTCCAGGCCGACTGGAGATCTTCCGTTGGGCAGGTGCCAGACGACCCGACTTTCCCGTCTGGGTCCCTAAGAGACTGGGGTTCCTTGGCGTCAGGAGCGAGGCCTGGACGGTGGGCAGAGGGGGGCGGGGGACCCAGGCGCCGCAGGGATTTCCGGTGAGCAGGGGGAGGAGGGGCGGGATGCGGAACCCTAGACTCCAGGGGGGTCTGTCCCCGGACGGTGGGGGGGGTTGATGGGGGATCAAACACGTGATGAGGGCCCAATTCCGCATCCGGGTCTCTGAGAGACTTGGCGTTAGGAGCGGCTCTTAGGTGCTCAGAGTCCACGGCTGAGGAGCTACGGGGAGGCAAGGTACGAACCCCGAGGGAGGACAGAGGGGACCCGGCGGAGGTCAGGGCCCACGGTCAGCCCGGGAAGGCCGCGGAGGAGCGGGATGGGGCTGGATGGTGGCGGCGGGTGCGGCAGGCCTGGCACATCCGGGTACCCGAGAGCCTGAGGCCTGGTGTGGCGGGAGCAGATGCTGAAGCGGGATGGAGGTAGGGTCGCGGGGCTAAGGGGAGGCGAGGGATGGACCCTGAGGGGGACAGAGGGGACCCCATCGGAGGGTCATCGAAGGCCCCCGTGGGGATGGGGACCTGCCCTCCTGTGGGAGTATGGGTGCTCAGACCTCCACATCCGGGCCTCTCGAGGCACTGGGGGCCCCTGGCGTCAGGAGCAGGGACTAGGACATGTGGGCAGAGGGGAGGGCCCCGGGTACTGCTGGGAATCCCGGTGAGGATGTGGAGGAGGCCCCGGGGACCCCACACCCCAGCCCAGAGTCGGTCCGGGGAAGGTCGTGGTGGGGGTGGAACACGTGGTGAGGCCCCCTCCCCATCCGGGGTCTCAGAGACCAGGGGCCTGGTGTTCAGAGCAGGGCCTCCCTGAGGGGGCAGGGGGTGGGCCCAGGTCCTGCTGGGTTCCTGGCGACAATGTCCATGGAGGACGGAGGGACCCCGCACCCCAGTCCACAGTCCGTCCCGGGAGGCAGGCAGTGGAGCCAGGCAGAGGCCCAGGCGCCCAGGGAGCCCCACCAGCAGGGGTGGGGAAGAAGGGCCCAGGGAGTCTCTCCCCGGCCCCCCAGCTCAGCCCCCTCTGTGAGCCCTGGGAAGCCCCCGGGCTGGGTCGCGGTCCTGATGGAAAGACGGTCACTCCCTGTCCCCGTTGGGGTCCGGGCAGACGGGAGGGCCTGGGTGTGAGCGGCCCGGCCTCGGGACGGCTGCCCGAGGAGACTGGGGTCAGCTAGGGCTGGACGCGAGGACCCCCGAGGGACTGAGACTCCCGAGGGAGTGGGTCCCCAGGGAGCCCCCAGCACCGAGACCCTGCCTCTGCTTCAGCTTCGAGAGGCTTCAGGGGGTGGACAAGCCCCGAGCTGCGTGGCGGCTGGTGCGTCGGGGCCTCCCACACTATGGGAGCTGGAGCTGGAGCACTGCCTCCAGGGTGTGGGCGGTGGTGGGGTCAGGTAGGGTGAGGGGCAATGGCCCACGTGTGGCTGGCAGCGAAGGCCAGGACTGCAGGGGCACTGAAGCCCTAGGGACGCAGCCTAGACTGGGTCCTGGGAGCCACCCAGGCCGATGACCACCTGGGGCGTGTTCTGGCTTGCCAGCCAAGTCTCCTCGAGCATGGGGGCTTGGTGGAAGGAGCAGGCTGGGGGCCCGCCTGGGGCCTGGTGGGATTGAAGGTGAGGACCAGAGGGAGGCTTGACGGGCCCTGGGCCCCAGCACGTGCAGTCCAGGGAGGCGGGAGGCAGGAGGCCCCATGCAGGATGAGCCGATGCTGCCGTCCTGATGTCCACCTGTGGGTGTTAGAGCCTGAGGGCTTGTGCTTCAAAGGAGCAGGGCCTTGGGGGTGGTTGGGGTGACGGTGTGTGTGGAGGGCACATGACCTGCGGGGAGTCAGAGTTAGGACCTTGGGGACACCCTGGCTCGCCCCACCCGGCAGGTGAACAAAGAAGCCAGTGCAGCAAAGTGGGTCGGAGTGAGGCCCTTCCCCGTGGGCAGCCCACCGAGGATGGGAGAGCGCTGGCCCTCAGTGCCATGCTGTCCCTGGGGCGGGTGGGCGGGAGGAAGGTGGGCTGACCTGGGGAGGGTGAGGTCTTGGTGTGAGGGGCACGTGTCCTCTATAGGAGGCTGGGGGCCCGGAGGAAGAGCAGGCCCTGGCAGGATAATGCTGAGGACCCTCCCGGGAGCCTGAGGGCATTCGCAACACAGGACAGAGGGGCCGGATTCCAGGCCTGCCCTTCCTGATCTTGCTGGGGGACTTCGTGGGGGGTTTTGTGGCTGTGACCCACCTGAAAGGGGACACGGGACAGGATGGGGACACAGGACACAACAGGGTACCTCCTCCTGCTCCTCTCCCAGTTCTCAAGGAGGTGAGGACCCCACTGGGAAAGGTCCCAGTCAGGGCCTGGGAGGAAGCCCACCTAGAGGATAGATACCCAAGAGTCCTAGGGCCTGCCAAGAGTCAGTGCGGGGACCCCTGCCCACCCCACATTGAAGGGGTGAGTGGCTCCCAAGCCAGCCCTCAAGCCCAGGAGGGGATGTCCCAGAAATCTGGGTGCCCCTCCCTGGCAGCCCTGGGAAGGAACCCGGGGCGGGGCCTGTGCCACCCACAGAGCCCCTCCTCTTGTTCAGATCCCTGGGCTCAGGGAGGGGAGGGCCTGGGCCTGAGGGTCTGGACTCAGGTCAGCAGAGGAGGTGGGTGCCCTGCCCTGGTTCTGTACCCAGCCCTGGCGGGGGTCGAGGTGAGAAATGAGGGGATGCCTCCCACAACAGGATCCCTAGGGACCAGGCCACCCCGGCCACGTGTGTGGGCCATGGGGAGAGGCGGGACGGGTGGGCCGACTGATTTCTCTGGACTTTGGCTGGTGGCAGGTCGTAGCAGGGGCCTTGCAAGGAACCAGGCGGGTGTTTCAGGGCCAGCTGGAGAGTCTTCCCAGGCCTTGTGTGGGGTCCAGGTGAAGACCCAGAGTTGCCCCATCCCAGCCCAGATGGAAGCCAGAGCTGGCCCATCCCTTGTGCATGATCCAGGACCAGTCCTGGAGACTTTGGCAGGTGTGGCCACGGCTGGGCCCCTGGCTTCCTTCTGTGGAGTGTCGGGGCCCTGTGTTCTTGCAGGGACACTTTGGCCTGAGAGGGACAGGGCCGGGGCAGACCCTTGAGAGGCCCAGGGGGGGACCGTCCCACCTGGACTGCCGGGGACCTCCCAGACTGTAAGCCAGCCCTCCTGTCCACACTGGGCCCCAGGGCTGGGCTGGCAGTCTGCACCCTGAGGACCCTTCTCCTTCCCTCCTGCAGGGACTTCAAGAACTGGCAGCGGAGGCCTCGGTCTGAGGCGGGGGTCCCTCAGGACACAGAACAGAGGAGGCGCGGGCCAGAACCACTTGTCCAGGTGAGGTGCACGCCCTCTCTGAGCCCAACACAGGGGAGCCCTCTGCAGGGGAGCCTGGCAGGGCCCTCTCTCAGCCCTGGCACTGCAGGCTCTCTTGGCTGGGCTGCACTGTGAGAAGCCATTCCACCTCTCTCTTCAGGTTCGGCCGGACACTGACACCATGTCCATGGAGCAGAAGAATGAGCTCTGGAAGCTGGAAGAAGACCCAGTAGACTCCCAGGACCTGGTGCATGCACAGTTGTCTGGGGCTGAAGAGGATACCTCCTCTTCCTTCTCTTCCTTCTCCTCCTCCTCCTTCTCCTCTTCCTCCCTCTCCTCCTCTTCCTCCTCCTCCTCTTCATCCTCCTCCTCCTGCTCTTCCTCCTACTCCTCTTCCTCCTCCTTCTCCTCCACTTCTACCTCCTCCTCCACTCCTTCTTCTTCCTCCTCTTCCCCTTCCTCCTCCTGCTCTGCCCTGTTCCTGATCCCCATTGAGGAGGGGTCTGCTGCTGAGTCCCTGAGTCCTCCCCAGGGCTCTCAGAGTGCTGACGCATCTCCTAGCAGCGGGGAAGCCACTGCCTGGAGCCAGCCCAAACATGGCTCCAGCATCCCAGATGAGCAGGGGTCAAGCACCTCGGAGGAGCCGGAAGATACCCAGCCCTCAACCCAAGGAAGGCTCCACGTGAAAGTGTGTGATCTGATGGTGTTTCTGCTCTTCAAGTATTGCACCAAGCAGCCTACCAACAAGGCAGAGATGCTGGAGATCGTCAGCAAAGAATACCAGGATGACTTCCCCATCATCTTGGGCCAAGCCTCCGAGTGTATGCGGCTGGTCTTTGGCATAGACGTGAAGGAAGTGGATTCCAGCGAGCACTCCTACATCCTGATCACCATCCTGGGCCTCAGCTGCGATGGGATGCTGAGTGGTGAAAGGGGCCTGCCCAAGACCAGCCTCCTGGTCCTGCTCCTGGGGGTGATCCTCCTGGAGGATGGTTGTGCCCCCGAGGAGGAGGTGTGGGAGGCGCTGAGGGTAATGGGGGTGTATGATGGCCAGGAGCACTTCATCTATGGGGAGCCTAGAAACCTCCTCACCAATGTCTGGGTGCAGGAAGGTTATGTGGAGTACCGGCAGGTGGCGGGCAGTGACCCTGCCCGCTATGAGTTCCTGTGGGGGCCCAGGGCCTACACAGAAACCAGCAAGTTGCAAGTCTTGGAGTATTTCCTGCAGGTGAATAGGAGGCAGCCGGGCTCCTCCCTGTCCCTTTCTGAAGAGGAGGGGACTGATGAGGAAGAGTAGACCTGAGCCCCAAGGCAGCCAGGCCCATTCCAGCCTTTACTGGGGTACACAGCTTCTCCTGTGATCTGGGCATTAAGGGAGGCCTTAGGGTGCTTCCTCCTCATGTTATTCTGTTGGGTGTGTAAAGAGAAAGTCCTGGATGTATAAGAAGTTAAGGGGCAGGGCAGGTTGGGGGAAAGCAGGGCCAAGAGCCTGGGCTCTGTGATGACTCTGAAACCCAGAGCTTAGCGTCCTTGAGGAAGCGCTCCAATGTTTGTCCCTTGGGATAGAAGGTTTCCTCAGCCCAGCGTGTCAGTGACACACCCCCCTTTGCGTTCGCACTTCCCCAGTTCAAGAGTTAAAAGTTTTGTCATGTCCTGTAAACCAGTTGGGAGACCTTCCCTCCTTGTTTGGGTTGTGGATGAAATCACAGGGCACTGGCGTTGGAATCTGTTGGAAAGGACAAGGGTGCAGCAGGCAAGAGCTGGAGCGTGGAAATAGGAAAATAAACCTTCTTCACTTTTGCTTCTTACCCGTGCCGTGTGTCTTTTTTCCAAAGTAACATAGATGTGCGCTCGTGCATTCACTTGGTTTTTCGGGAACGTGAGAGAAGGGTCCTGAGGCCAGGGGAGCCCTGCTGGCGGCTCCCTCACGGCCACACAGCGGCTGAGCTCTGCTCCCTGCAAGGCCCTGTGTGTGAGCAGTGAGGACACGAGGGCCCCGGGGCCACACTGCCTTTGGGGAATGTGTCTAGCGGCTGCTGTCCTGCAGGAAGGCGGGGAGGGGTGCCCTGAGACCTGGGCCAGCCTGCCAGCCCCAAGTGGCAGAAGGATGAGGGGGTGGGGCAGCTCCTGGGCCAGGCTCTGCAGGGGCCAAGGCCCCCGTGGCTGGGGTTCTCTCGTCACGGTGACTCCTTGTGTGCAGCTGATGACCATGATGTTGAGGGGTGACACGCCCGTACATGGAGACAGGGTGCCTTAGGGGTGGGAGCAAAGTCTAACACGGACAATTGCTCTGAGAATTTCCTTCTGGATCATGGACGAACCAGAGAGAGTCATGTCTTCCAGGGGCAGGAGAGGAAGCTGTCCTGCACTCTGGTCCCAGTGCAGTGGAACACAGTGCACAGACTAGGTGTTTTATATGCATCCTGTGCAAGGATTTCCGGAGGAACACAGTCCTATATTCCTTGAAGTGGAGCCCCGAAGACTCTCCACTGACTCTCTTGTTCCTGACCGTGGAAAGTCAGAACCCACGGCATCAAAAAGACATTTAATTTGGTTATCTTGGGTGTCATTGGGACAGCTGTACATCAGCAAGGTCTAGGTTTGGGCGGGGAGAATTGAAGGAAAGCAGTGGTTTGGGTGCAAGAGCAGCCGGGAGGGAGGGAAGGAGTCGGTCTTTGACTCGAAGTGTAGGCTTGTCGCGCCTCTGTGTTGTATCCAGCTGGGACAACTCCCCACACCCGAGTTCCACACCTCGCCTCCTATAGCCCACGTACAGCCCCTGATTTAGAAAATGGATTGAGTTTCATACTTGAAGCGCCCTCTCTGGCCGATTCGCTGTTCCAGGTCAGGTTGAGCTGCAGGCACTCTAACTCTGGCCGGGCTAACAAAACCTATCCCAGAGGAGAGAGCGGGAGGCCCCGGGGTCAGGACAGCATTCAACATAGCTGCCGTTCATCCAGGTTCCAGTATATGCCAGGCGCCGTGCAAGGTGCTTCCCATCCCCAAAACACACATTCCTGCCATCCGACGTGGCGGGGTGGCTCCAAACCATGTACTTCACAGGCGACAACCCCGACCGAGGCTCTCAGGGTTGGTCCTTTCCCCAGGATCACATGGCTGGTGAGTGACGAGGCGGAGACTAGAACCCTGGTGTGAAGCCGTGTCGAGTCCACGCTGTCCCCTCCCCGCCCAGCCTGTGGCCTGCCTTCTGACTCCTACATCAGGAGTGAGGACAGCGTGGTATCTCCCAGGTGACAAAAGAGAGGATGCCATGGCGAAGGTTCCGAGACCTGGGCTAAGGAAGGCAGGTGACAATGAGAATCAAACAGGATTTGGGTCGTGTCTGTGGGCTCGTTAACCTGGAGTCCTTCTGTCTGAGCCCCAGAGGTCTTCGGGAACTGGCTGCCCAGGTGCTGGCAATGTTTCCAGACTTAGCACTTTCCCGAATGACAGCGCCTTCCCCTGGTTTTCCCCTCGTGTTCTTCTGTCTACCTCTTGGACCTGGCCCGCTAATGAGTCATCACTGGTCCGCGTAGAACAGGTAGGAATCACCTTGTCTCCCCCGACACAGAACCTTACTCTGCAGTAGCCTCTGGCCATTAAATGCATAAAGCGAATCGTCCCTGCTGAGATTACAGAATCATTTGAAAACTAGACGTGGTCCTGTATTTGGAAGTAGGTGTCACACAAGAGATGCTTGAAAAAGTTCAAAGAATTCCAAGGCAAATGTGACCTCAGAAACTCCTCCCAGCGATGAAGTCAGTTGTCACAACAAATCATGTAGTTGCGTTTGGTTGAGCACCTACTGTGTAACGATAGTGTCCCTGGCTGATGAGGCCTCCCGGGCTTCTGAGGTCGTGGCGTAGGAGGGGCGCGAGTCACGTGCTGTGGCATATCACAGCAGGGGCTTGCAGTCACGTGCTGCTATGCTGGCCTGTGTCACCAGGACTGGCCCAAGGTGCACATGTTTGCGGGGTGGGTGGGAATCCTGTGGAGATGACGCCTTTTCTTTTTTTTTTAATAATAAATTTATTTTTTATTGGTGCTCAATTTGCCAACATACAGAATAACACCCAGTGCTCATCCTGTCAAGTGCCCCCCCAGTGCCCGTCACCCATTCATCCCATCCCCCGCCCTCCTCTCCTTCCACCACCCCTACTTCATTTCCCAGAGTTAGGAGTCTTCATGTTCTGTCTCCCTTTCTGATATTTCCTACCCATTTCTTCTCCCTTCCCTTCTATTCCCTTTCACTATTATTTATATTCCCCAAATGAATGAGACCATATAATGTTTATAGCCATATCACCCTGAACGCGCCCGATCTCGTCTGATGGTGCCTTTTCTTATTCAACTGGTGAGGAAGGGTGGGCTCCAGGGCAGGAGAAGGCACGTGCATGGGCTGAGAATCTCCTGATAGACCACGTTTCCTAGGAAGGAAGCACCGTGGACCATCCTGTGCAGAGCATCCCCACCTCCAAGATGGTGTTTGGACCTGGGAAGAGACGTCCATGGTGATACCCTCTTCTATATTAGTTTCCCTTGGAATTCTCGGGTATGTGAGCAGTTGGAGAACTGTGAGTTTTATCCATGAAGGTGGAAGGCCCAGGCAGGGGGCACGCTCCACATTCTGTGTCAGTGAATGACCCTACAGCAACTTGATTCAATACGCATATGTATATGTATGTATGTATGTATGTATGTATGCAATTTTTAAGGAAACATGGAAAAATTCCTCTGATAGGTGGATTTCTGGTTGAGTACAGGCATATATATGCCATTTTGGGTTACTTTTTTTTTTATCATTTTGGATTACTTTTTAATATTCTGTTCCTGACATCCTTGTTAAGGCTGAGCATAGGTCCACCCGAATTCAATATACACTTCCTCTAACCTTGCATCAGGCAGCTGGAAGCTCTGCAGTAACTAAAAGTACTCATGAAAAACAGAGCAAGGACAACTTTGGGTCCAGGAGGTAGCTTTCCATGTATCCATCGTAACGGCCTTTATTTTATTTATTTATTTATTTATTTATTTATTTATTTATTTATTTATTTATTTTATTTATTTATTTAGTTATGATAGTCACACACACACAGAGAGAGGCAGAGACATAGGCAGAGGGAGAAGCAGGCTCCATGCACCGGGAGCCCAACGTGGGATTCAATCCCAGGTCTCCAGGTTCGCGCCCTGGGCCAAAGGCAGGCGCTAAAGCGCTGCGCCACCCAGGGATCCCCCATAACACCCTTTATTTAGGTGGAAAATGTCCATGATGCAGGGAGGACAGAGGGGACCTCACAGGGTTCAGGCCCCAGGGTCAGCCCAAAAGACCCCAGGGCTGCAAGGAGACAAGGTCAAGTGTGACTTCTGCATCCAGGTCCCAGAGAGCCTGTGGGCCTGGTGGCAGGAGCAGATGTTCAGGCAGGAGAGGTGAGGGCCCTGGCGGGTATCGGGAGGGAAGGCAAGGGATGAAGCCGGAGGGAGGACAGAGGGAAGGAACCCCAGCAGGAGGCCATCAGCGATGTCAGGCCTGCATGGCCCCTGGGCTGGGAGGGGGAACCGCGGGGAGGGGGGCAGCACAGTCCGATTTCGACATCCGGGTTTCCCGAGAGACTGACGGCTCCTGGATTCTGAAGCAGGGTGTCCCTCAGGTGGACAGAGCGTGGACCCAGGTCCTCCTGGTGAAGATATGGAGGGATGATGGAGGGACTCGGGACTTCAGAAACGTCAGCCCGGGAAGGCCGCGCGGGAGCGGGATGGGGCCAGATCGAGGCGGCAGGTGCGGCAGGCCTGGCACATCCAGGTAGCCAGAGAGCAGGAGGCCCGGTGTGGCGGGAGTAGATGCTGAGGGCGGAGGGAGGGTCCCGGGGCTATGGGGACTGAGGGATGGACCCTGAGGGGGACAGAGGGGACCCGTCGGAGGGCAGGGCCCACGGTCACCCCGGGAAGGCCGCGCAGCAGCGGGATGGGGCCAGATGGAGGCGGCAGGTGCAGCAGGCCTGGCACATCCGGGTACCCGAAGCCTGGGTGCAGAGCCTGGGTGTGGCGGGAGCAGATGCAGGTAGACGGAGAGGAGGGCCCCGGTGCGAAGCAGGAGGGGAGGCAAGGGATGGACTCTAAGGGGAACAGAGGGGACTCGGCGGAGGGTCTCCAGGGAGGGGAGCACCCCCCACTCCAGGCCGACTGGAGATCTTCCGTTGGGCAGGTGCCACTCAGACTTTCCCGTCTGGGTCCCTAAGAGACTGGGGTTCCTTGGCGTCAGGAGCGGGGCCTGGACGGTGGGCAGAGGGGGGGGGAAGACCCAGGTGCCGCAGGGATTTCCGGTGAGCATGGGGAGGAGGGGCGGGATGCGGAACCCTAGACTCCAGGGGGGTCTGTCCCCGGACGGTGTGGGGGGGTTGATGGGGGATCAAACACGTGATGAGGGCCCAATTCCGCATCCGGGTCTCTGAGAGACTTGGCGTTAGGAGCGGCTCTTAGGTGCTCAGAGTCCACGGCTGAGGAGCTACGGGGAGGCAAGGTACGAACCCCGAGGGAGGACAGAGGGGACCCGGCGGAGGTCAGGGCCCACGGTCAGCCCGGGAAGGCCGCGGAGGAGCGGGATGGGGCTGGATGGTGGCGGCGGGTGCGGCAGGCCTGGCACATCCGGGTACCCGAGAGCCTGGGGCCTGGAGTGGCGGGAGCAGACGCTGAGGGGGGCGGGGGATGGGTCCCGGGGCTAAGGGGAGGCGAGGGATGGACCCTGAGGGGGACAGAGGGGACCCGGCCGAGGGTCTCCAGGGATGGGAGCACCCCCCCCCCCTCTTTGCCCTCTGGAGATCTTCCGTTGGGCAGGTGTCCGGCGGTCGGACTTTCCCGTCTCGGTCCCTAAGAGACTGGGGTTCCTTGGCGTCAGTAGCTGGGCCTGGACGGTGGGCAGAGGGGGACGGGGGACCCAGGTGCCGCAGGGATTTCCGGTGAGCAGGGGGAGGAGGAACGGGATGCGGAACCCTAGACTCCAGGGGGGTCTGTCCCCGGAAGGTGGGGGGGGTTAATGGGGGATCAAACACGTGATGAGGGCCCAATTCCGCATCCGGGTCTCTGAGAGACTTGGCGTTAGGAGCGGCTCTTAGGTGCTCAGAGTCCACGGCTGAGGAGCTACGGGGAGGCAAGGTACGAACCCCGAGGGAGGACAGAGGGGACCCGGCGGAGCTCTCCAGGATGGGAGCCCCCCAACCCCGGGCCGACTGGAGATCTTCCGTTGGGCAGTTGCCAGACGACCCGACTTTCCCGTCTGGGTCCCTAAGAGACTGGGGTTCCTTGCGTCAGGAGCGGGGCCTGGACGGTGGGCAGAGGGGGGCGGGGGACCCAGGTGCCGCAGGGATTTCCGGTGAGCATGGGGAGGAGGGGTGGGATATGGAACCCTAGACTCCAGGGGGGTCTGTCCCCGGAAGGTGGGGGGCATTAATGGGGGATCAAACACGTGATGAGGGCCCAATTCCGCATCCGGGTCTCTGAGAGACTTGGCACTAGGAGCGGCTCTTAGGTGCTCAGAGTCCCGGCTGAGGAGCTACGGGGAGGCAAGGTACGAACCCCGAGGGAGGACAGAGGGGACCCGGCGGAGGTCAGGGCCCACGGTCAGCCCGGGAAGGCCGCGGGGGAGCGGGATGGGGCCGGATGGTGGCGGCGGGTGCGGCAGGCCTGGCACATCCGGGTACCCGAGAGCCTGAGGCCTGCTGTGGCGGGAGCAGATGCTGTCGGGGGCGGAGGGAGGGTCGCGGGGCTAAGGGGAGGCGAGGGATGGACCATTGACAGGGACAAAGGGGACCCGGCGGAGGGCAGGGCCCACGGTCACCCCGGGAAGGCCGCGGAGGAGCGGGATGGGGCCGGATGGTGGCGGCAGTTGCAGCAGGCCTGGTATATCTGGGTACCCGAGAGCCTGAGGCCTGCTGTGGCAGGAGATGCTGAGGGGGGGTGGAGGGAGGGCCCAGGGGCTAAGGGGAGGCAAGGGATAGACCCTGAGGAGGACAGAGCGGACCCGGCGGAGGGTCTCCAGGGATGGCAACCCCTGCCACCTTGAGCTGCCTGAAGGTCTTCCGTTGGGCAGGTGCCAGACGACCCGACTTTCCCGTCTGGGTCCCTAAGAGACTGGGGTTCCTTGGCGTCAGGAGCTGGGCATGGACGGTGGGCAGAGGGGGACGGGGGACCCAGGCGCCGCAGGGATTTCCGGTGAGCATGGGGAGGAGGGGCGGGATGCGGAACCCTAGACTCCAGGGGGGTCTGTCCCCGGACGGTGTGGGGGGGTTGATGGGGGATCAAACACGTGATGAGGGCCCAATTCCGCATCCGGGTCTCTGAGAGACTTGGCACTAGGAGCGGCTCTTAGGTGCTCAGAGACCACGGCTGAGGAGCTACGGGGAGGCAAGGTACGAACCCCGAGGGAGGACAGAGGGGACCCGGCGGAGGGCAGGGCCCACGGTCAGCCCGGGAAGGCCGCGGAGGAGCGGGATGGGGCCGGATGGTGGCGGCGGGTGCGGCAGGCCTGGCACATCCGGGTACCCGAGAGCCTGGGGCCTGGTGTGGTGGGAGCAGATGCTGAGGGGGGCGGAGGGAGGGTCCAGGGGCTAAGGGGAGGCGAGGGATGGACCCTGAGGGGGACAGAGGGACCCGGCGGAGGTCAGGGCCCATCGGTCAGCCTGGAAGGCCGCGGAGGAGCGGGATGGGGCCGGATGGTGGCGGCGGGTGCGGCAGGCCTGGCACATCCGGGTACCCGAGAGCCTGGGGCCTGGTGTGGCGGGAGCAGATGCTGAGGGGGGCGGAGGGAGGGTCCAGGGGCTAAGGGGAGGCGAGGGATGGACCTTGAGGGGACACAGGGGACCCTGTCGGAGGGTCGCAAGGGCTGTGAGGCCCCCGGGGGACCGGGACCTGCCCTCTGGTGGGCAGCACTCGGGTAGCTGACACACTTCCATATCCGGGCCTCCCGAGACACTGGGGCCCCTGGCGTCAGGAGCAGGGCCTAGGACACGTGGGCAGAGGGGAGGGCCCGGGTGCTGCTGGGAATCCCGGTGAGGATGCGGAAGAGGCCCGGGGGACCCCACACCCCAGCCCAGAGTCGGTCCCGGGGAAGGTCGTGGTGGGGGTGGAACACGTGGTGAGGCCCCCTCCCCATCCGGGGTCTCAGAGACCAGGGGCTGGTGTTCAGAGCAGGGCCTCCCTGAGGGGGCAGAGGGTGGGCCCAGGTCCTGCTGGGTTCCTGGCGAGGATGTCCATGGAGGACGGAGGGACCCCGCACCCCAGTCCACAGTCAGTCCCGGGAGGCAGGCCGAGTGGAGCCAGGCAGAGGCCCAGGCGCCCAGGGAGCCCCGCCAGCAGGGGTGGGGAAGAAGGGCCCAGGGAGCCTGTCCCCCGCCCCAGCTCAGCCCCCTCTGTGAGCCCTGGGAAGTCCCCGGGCTGGGTCGCGGTCCTGATGGAAAGACGGTCACTCCCTGTCCCGTTGGGGTCCGGGCGGAGGGGACGGTCCTCGGGACAGCTGCCCAGGGGCCCGAGGTCTCCTAGGGCTGGAGGGAGGACCCCCGAGGGACTGAGACCCCCGAGGGAGTGGGTCCCCAGGAGCCCCCAGCACCACCGCCCTGCCCCTGCTTCAGCCTCGGAGGCTGCAGGGGGTGGACAAGTCCTGAACTTCATGGCCGTTGGTGCGATGGGCCTCCCACACTGTGGCCATTGGGCTGGAGCACTGCCTCCAGGGTGTGGGCGGTGGTGGGGTCGGGTGGGGTGAGGGGCAATGGCCCATGTGTGGCTGGCAGCCAAGGCCAGTACCACAGGGGCACTGAAGCCCTAGGGACACAGACCACAATGGGTGGGTGGGTGGCAGGAAGGTGGGCTGACCTGGGGAGGGTGAGGTCTTGGTGTGAGGGACACATGTCCTCTATGGGAGGTTGGGGGCCTGGAGGAAGAGCAGGCCCTGGCAGGATAATGCTGAGGACCCTCCCAGGAGCCTGAGGGCATTAGCGCCCCAGGAGGGAGGGGCCAGGGGAATTTTAAAAAACGTCTCCAGGCCTGCCCTTCCTAATCTTGCTGGGGTACTGAGGGGAGGGGGTGGAGGTGGGGTTGCTGTTGTGACCTGCCTGGCCGGGGACACAGGACAGGATGGGGACACAGGACATAACACGGTACCTCCTCCTGCTCCTCTCCCAGTTCTCAGGGAGGTGAGGACCCCACTGGGAGAGGTCCCAGTCAGGGCTTGAGAGGAGGCTCACCTAGGGGATAGATACTCAAAAGTCCTAGGGCCTGCCAAGATTCAGTGCGGGGACCCCCGCCCACCCCACATTGAAGGGGTGAGTGGCTCCCAAGCCAGCCCTCAGGCCCAGGAGGGGATGTCCCAGAAATCTGGGTGCCCCTCCCTGGCAGCCCTGGGAAGGGAACCTGGGGCGGGGCCTGTGCCACGGAGCCCCTCCTCTTTTCCAGATCCCTGGGCTCAGGGAGGGGAGGGCCTGGGCCTGAGGGTCTGGACTCAGGTCAGCAGAGGAGGCGGGTGCCCTGCCCTGGCCCTGATCCCAGCCCTGGCGGGGGTCGAGGTGAGAAATGAGGGGATGCCTCCCACATCAGGATCCCTAGGGACCAGGCCTCAGGGACAGCTGGGGAGTCTTCCCAGGCCTTGGGTGGGGTACAGGTGAAGAACGAGAGGCCCCCCATCCCAGCCCAGATGGAAGCCAGAGCCGGCCCATCCCTTGTGCATGATCCAGGACGATTCCTGGAGACTTTGGCAGGTTTGGCCACGGCTGGGCCCCTGGCTTCCTTCTGTGGAGTGTCGGGGCCCTGTGTTCTTGCAGGGACACTTTGGCCTGAGAGGGACAGGGCCAGGGAAGTCCCTTGAGAGGCAAAGGAGGGGACCCCCACACCTTGCCTGCTGGGGACCTCCCAGAGTGCAAGCCAGCCCTCCTGTCCACACTGGGCCCCAGGGCTGGGCTGGCAGTCTGCACCCTGAGGACCCTCCTCCTTCCCTCCTGCAGGGACTTCAAGAACTGGCAGCAGAGGCCTCGGTCTGAGGCGGGGGTCCCTCAGGACACAGAGCAGAGGAGGTGCGGGCCAGAGCCACTTGTCCAGGTGAGGTACACACTCTCTCTGAGCCTGGTGTTAGGGGCTCTCCCAGCCCAACACAGGGGAGCCCTCTGCAGGGGATCCTGGCATGGCCCCCTGTCAGCCCTGGCACTTTGGGGTGTCTTAGCTGGGCTGCCCCCTGACAGGTCTTCCCTCCTGTCTCTTCAGGTCAGCCCGAATCTGACACCATGTCCCTCAGGAAGAGCAATGAGCTTTGGGAGCTGGGAGAAGACCTGGACAAAGCCCAGGGCCTGCTGGATGCCCTGCAGTCCAGGGCTGAGGAGGAGGAGGAGGAGCAGGTTCCATCTCCCTGGTCTCTTCCCTCTCTGTCCTCTTCCTCCCCTTCCTTTTCTTTCTATGGCCTCCTTGGCCCCCCAGAGGAGGGGTCTACTCCTGAGGGTCCCCAAGTCCTCTCCAGAGCTCTCAGAGTGCCGTCACGTCCCCCTATGACGGGGCAGCCAGGGGCCTTGGCCAGCCCCAGCCTGCCAGCCCCTACAGCCCAGGGGAGGTGGGCTCAAGCGGAAGTGAAGGGCAGGAAGATGCTGACCCGTACCCCTGTGGCTGGGCATCCATTGGCCTTGGCCAGCCCAGCCTGCTGGCCCCAATGGCCCAGGGATGGTGGGGTCAAACCACCTGAACAGCAGGAAGATGAGCAGCCCCAGGGCACTTTTCATGTGAAGACGGCTGCGCTGGTGAAGTTCCTGCTCCTCAAGTATCGCACCAAGCAGCCCACCAACAAGGCAGAGATGCTGGAGGTCATCACCCCAGCATTCCAGGATGACTTCCCCGTCATCTTGAGTGAAGCGTCCATATGCTTGCGCCTGGTCCTTGGCCTAGACGTGACTGAAGTGGATCCCAGGGAGGACTCCTACGACCTCAACATCGTCCTGGGCCTCACCTGGGATGGGATGGTGAGCGGTCAGGGGGACCTTCCCAAAACCAGCCTCCTGGTGCTGGTCCTGGGGTTGATCGTCCTGGAGGATGACTGTGCCCCGAGGAGGAGGTGTGGGAGACCCTGGGGGTCATGGGGGTGTATGATGGCCAGGAGCACATCGTCTATGGGGAGCCAGGGACCTCCTCACCAATGTCTGGGTGCAGGAAGGCTACCTGGAGTGCCGGCCGGTGGCGGGCAGCGACCCTGTCCGCTACGAGTTCCTGTGGGGGCCCAGGGCCTACGAGGAAACCACCAAGTTGCAGGTCATGGACTATGTGTTCCAAGTCAGTAGCAGCCTCGTGGTTTCCTCCCTGGCCCTGTGTGAACAGATTCTGAGATAAGGAAGAGGGGGCCACAGCCCCAGAGGCGGCCAGGCCCTTTCCAAGCTTTGGTGGGGCCGGCATGAAGGGGGACTTAGGGTGCTTCCTCCCGGTGTTGTCCTGTTGGGTGAGTAAAGAGAAAGTCCTGGGTGTTAGGGCCAGGGCAGGTTGGGGAGAGCATGGCCAAGAGCCTCTCTGGGGCCTGGGCTCTGCAATCACCCTGAAATACAGAGCTTAGCGTCCTTGAGGAAGCGCTCCAATGTTTGTTCCTTGGGATAGAAGGTTTCCTCAGCCCAGTGTGTCAGTGACACACCCCCTAAGCGTTCGTACTTCCCCAGTTCAAGAGTTAACAGTTTTGTCATGTCCTGTAAACCAGTTGGGAGACCCTCCCTCCTTGTTTGGGTTGTGGATGAAATCACAGGGCATTGGCGTTGGAATCTGTTGGAAAGGCCAAGAGTGGAGCAGGCAAGAGCTGGAGCGTGGAAATAGGAAAATAAACCTTGTTCACTTTTGCTTCTTACCCGTGCCGTGTGTCTTTTTTCCAAAGTAACATAGATGTGCGCTCGTGCATTCACTTGGTTTTTCGGGAACGTGAGAGAAGGGTCCTGAGGCCAGGGGAGCCCTGCTGGCGGCTCCCTCACGGCCACACAGCGGCTGAGCTCTGCTCCCTGCAAGGCCCTGTGTGTGAGCAGTGAGGACACGAGGGCCCGGGGCCACGCTGCCTTGGGGACTGTGTCTAGCGGCCGCTGTCCTGCAGGAAGGCGGGGAGGGGTGCCCTGAGACCTGGGCCAGCCTGCCAGCCCCAAGTAGCAGAAGGATGAGGGGGTGGGGCGGCTCCTGGGCCAGGCTCTGCAGGGGCCAAGGCCCCCGTGGCTGGGGTTCTCTCGTCACGGTGACTCCTTGTGTGCAGCTGATGACCATGATGTTGAGGGGTGACACGCCCGTACATGGAGACAGGGTGCCTTAGGGGTGGGAGCAAAGTCTAACACGGACAATTGCTCTGAGAATTTCCTTCTGGATCATGGACGAACCAGAGAGAGTCATGTCTTCCAGGGGCAGGAGAGGAAGCTGTCCTGCACTCTGGTCCCAGTGCAGTGGAACACAGTGCACAGACTAGGTGTTTTATATGCATCCTGTGCAAGGACTTCCGGAGGAACACAGTCCTATATTCCTTGAAGTGGAGCCCCGAAGACTCTCCACTGACTCTCTTGTTCCTGACCGTGGAAAGTCAGAACCCACGGCATCAAAAAGACATTTAATTTGGTTATCTTGGGCGTCACTGGGACAGCTGTACATCAGCAAGGTCTAGGTTTGGGCGGGGAGAATTGAAGGAAAGCAGTGGTTTGGGTGCAAGAGCAGCCGGGAGGGAGGGAAGGAGTCGGTCTTTGACTCGAAGTGTAGGCTTGTCGCGCCTCTGTGTTGTATCCAGCTGGGACAACTCCCCGCACCCGAGTTCCACACCTCGCCTCCTATAGCCCACGTACAGCCCCTGATTTAGAAAATGGATTGAGTTTCATACTTGAAGCGCCCTCTCTGGCCGATTCGCTGTTCCAGGTCAGGTTGAGCTGCAGGCACTCTAACTCTGGCCGGGCTAACAAAACCTATCCCAGAGGAGAGAGCGGGAGGCCCCGGGGTCAGGACAGCATTCAACATAGCTGCCGTTCATCCAGGTTCCAGTATATGCCAGGCGCCGTGCAAGGTGCTTCCCATCCCCAAAACACACATTCCTGCCATCCGACGTGGCGGGGTGGCTCCAAACCATGTACTTCACAGGCGACAACCCCGACCGAGGCTCTCAGGGTTGGTCCTTTCCCCAGGATCACATGGCTGGTGAGTGACGAGGCGGAGACTAGAACCCTGGTGTGAAGCCGTGTCGAGTCCACACTGTCCCCTCCCCGCCCAGCCTGTGGCCTGCCTTCTGACTCCTACATCAGGAGTGAGGACAGCGTGGTATCTCCCAGGTGACAAAAGAGAGGATGCCATGGCGAAGGTTCCGAGACCTGGGCTAAGGAAGGCAGGTGACAATGAGAATCAAACAGGATTTGGGTCGTGTCTGTGGGCTCGTTAACCTGGAGTCCTTCTGTCTGAGCCCCAGAGGTCTTCGGGAACTGGCTGCCCAGGTGCTGGCAATGTTTCCAGACTTAGCACTTTCCCGAATGACAGCGCCTTCCCCTGGTTTTCCCCTCGTGTTCTTCTGTCTACCTCTTGGACCTGGCCCGCTAATGAGTCATCACTGGTCCGCGTAGAACAGGTAGGAATCACCTTCTCTCCCCTGACACAGAACCTTACTCTGCAGTAGCCTCTGGCCATTAAATGCATAAAGCGAATCGTCCCTGCTGAGATTACAGAATCATTTGAAAACTAGACGTGGTCCTGTATTTGGAAGTAGGTGTCACACAAGAGATGCTTGAAAAAGTTCAAAGAATTCCAAGGCAAATGTGACCTCAGAAACTCGCCCCAGGGATAAAGTCAGTTGTCACAACAAATCATGTAGTTGCTTTTGGTTGAGCACCTACTGTGTAACGATAGTGTCCCTGGCTGAGGAGGCCTCCCGGGGCTTCTGAGGTCGTGGCGTAGCAGGGGCGCGAGTCATGTGCTGTGGCATGATGGCTGGCCTGTGCCACCAGGACTGGCCCAAGGTGCACATGTTTGCGGGGTGGGTGGGAATCCTGTGGAGATGGCGCCTTTTCTTATTCAACTGGCGAGGAAGGGTGGGCTCCAGGGCAGGAGAAGGCGCGTGCATGGGCTGAGAATCTCCTGATAGACCACGTTTCCTAGGAAGGAAGCACCGTGGACCATCCTGTGCAGAGCATCCCCACCTCCAAGATGGTGTTTGGACCTGGGAAGAGACGTCCATGGTGATACCCTCTATATTAGTTTCCCTTGGAATTCTCGGGTATGTGAGCAGTTGGAGAACTGTGAGTTTTATCCATGAAGGTGGAAGGCCCAGGCAGGGGGCACGCTCCACATTCTGTGTCAGTGAATGACCCTACAGCAACTTGATTCACATACGCATATGTATATGTATGTATGTATGTATGTATGTATGTATGCAATTTTTAAGGAAACATGGAAAAATTCCTCTGATAGGTGGATTTCTGGTTGAGTACAGGCATATATATGCCATTTTGGGTTACTTTTTTTTTATTATTTTGGATTACTTTTTAATACTCTGCTCCTGACATCCTTGTTAAGGCTGAGCATAGGTCCACCAGAATTCAACATTTACTTCCTCTAACCTTGCATCAGGCAGCTGGAAGCTCTGCAGTAACTAAAAGTACTCATGAAAAACAGAGCAAGGACAACTTTGGGTCCAGGAGGTAGCTTTCCATGAATCCGTCATAACGCCCTTTACCTAAGTGGAAAATGTCCATGATGCAGGGAGGACAGAGGGGACCTCACAGGGTTCAGGCCCCAGGGTCAGCCCAAAAGACCCCAGGGCTGCATGGAGACAAGGTCAAGTGTGACTTCTGCATCCAGGTCCCAGAGAGCCTGTGGGCCTGGTGGCAGGAGCAGATGTTCAGGCAGGAGAGGTGAGGGCCCTGGCGGGTATCGGGAGGGAAGGCAAGGGATGAAGCCGGAGGGAGGACAGAGGGAAGGAACCCCAGCAGGAGGCCATCAGCGATGTCAGGCCTGCATGGCCCCTGGGCTGGGAGGGGGAACCGCGGGGAGGGGGGCAGCACAGTCCGATTTCGACATCCGGGTTTCCCGAGAGACTGACGGCTCCTGGATTCTGAAGCAGGGTGTCCCTCAGGTGGACAGAGCGTGGACCCAGGTCCTCCTGGTGAAGATATGGAGGGATGATGGAGGGACTCGGGACTTCAGAAACGTCAGCCCGGGAAGGCCGCGGGGGAGCGGGATGGGGCCAGATGGAGGCGGCAGGTGCGGCAGGCCTGGCACATCCAGGTAGCCAGAGAGCAGGAGGCCCGGTGTGGCGGGAGCAGACGCTGAGGGCGGAGGGAGGGTCCCGGGGCTATGGGGAGGCGAGGGATGGACCCTGAGGGGGACAGAGGGGACCCGGCGGAGGGTCTCCAGGGATGGGAGCACCCCCCCCCTCTTTGCCCTCTGGAGATCTTCCGTTGGGCAGGTGTCCGGCGGTCGGACTTTCCCGTCTGGGTCCCTAAGAGACTGGGGTTCCTTGGCGTCAGGAGCGGGGCCTGGACGGTGGGCAGAGGGGGGCGGGGGACCCAGGCGCCGCAGGGATTTCCGGTGAGCAGGGGGAGGAGGGGCGGGATGCGGAACCCTAGACTCCAGGGGGGTCTGTCCCCGGAAGGTGGGGGGGGTTGATGGGGGATCAAACACGTGATGAGGGCCCAATTCTGCATCCGGGTCTCTGAGAGACTTGGCACTAGGAGCGGCTCTTAGGTGCTCAGAGACCACGGCTGAGGAGCTAAGGGGAGGCAAGGTACGAACCCCGAGGGAGGACAGAGGGGACCCGGCGGAGGGCAGGGCCCACGGTCACCCCGGGAAGGCCGCGGGGGAGCGGGATGGGGCCGGATGGTGGCGGCGGGTGCGGCAGGCCTGGCACATCCGGGTACCCGAGAGCTTGAGGCCTGCTGTGGCGGGAGCAGGCGGTGAGGGGGGAGGGAGGGTCCAGGGGCTAAGGGGAGGCGAGGGATGGATCCTGAGGGGGACAGAGGGGACCCGGTTGAGGGCAGGGCCCACGGTCAGTCCGGGAAGGCCGCGCAGGAGCGGGATGGGGCCAGATGGAGGCGGCAGGTGCGGCAGGCCTGGCACATCCAGGTAGCCAGAGAGCAGGAGGCCCGGTGTGGCGGGAGTAGATGCTGAGGGCGGAGGGAGGGTCCCGGGGCTATGGGGACTGAGGGATGGACCCTGAGGGGGACAGAGGGGACCCGGCGGAGGTCAGGGCCCACGGTCAGCCCGGGAAGGCCGCGGGGGAGCGGGACAGGGCTGGATGGTGGCGGCGGGTGCGGCAGGCCTGGCACATCCGGGTACCCGAGAGCCTGAGGCCTGGGGTGGCGGGAGCAGACGCTGAGGGGGGCGGAGGGAGGGTCGCGGGGCTAAGGGGAGGCGAGGGATGGACCATTGACAAGGACAAAGGGGCCCCGGCGAAGGTCAGGGCCCACGGTCACCCCGGGGAGGCCACGGAGGAGCGGGATGGGGCCAGATGGAGGCGGCAGGTGCGGCAGGCCTGGCACATCCGGGTAGCCAGAGAGCAGGAGGCCCGGTGTGGCGGGAGCAGACGCTGAGGATGGAGGGGCGGGTCCCGGGGCTATGGGGACTGAGGGATGGACCCTGAGGGGGACAGAGGGGACCCGGCGGAGGGCAGGGCCCACGGTCACCCCGGGAAGGCCGCGCAGCAGCGGGATGGGGCCAGATGGAGGCGGCAGGTGCAGCAGGCCTGGCACATCCGGGTACCCGAAGCCTGGGTGCAGAGCCTGGGTGTGGCGGGAGCAGATGGAGGTAGACGGAGAGGAGGGCCCCGGCGCGAAGCAGGAGGGGAGGCAAGGGATGGAATCTAAGGGGAACAGAGGGCACCTGGCAGAAGGTCTCCAGGGAGGGGAGCACCCCCCACTCCAGGCCGACTGGAGATCTTCTGTTGGGCAGGTGCCACTCAGACTTTCCCGTCTGGGTCCCTAAGAGACTGGGGTTCCTTGGCGTCAGGAGCGGGGCCTGGACGGTGGGCCGAGGGGGGCGGGGGACCCAGGTGCCGCAGGTATTTCCGGTGAGCAGGGGGAGGAGGGGCGGGATGCGGAACCCTAGACTCCAGGGGGGTCTGTCCCCGGATGGTGGGGGGGGTTGATGGGGGATGAAACTCATGATGAGGGCCCAATTCCGCATCCGGGTCTCTGAGAGACTTGGCGTTAGGAGTAGATCCCCTGTAAGGTGCAGCTCTCAGGTGGTCAGAGACAAGGGCCCAGGAGCTAAGGGGAGGCGAGGGATGGACCCTGAGGGGGACAGAGAGGACCCTGCGGAGAGTCGCCTGGGCTGTGAGGCCCCCTGGGATGGGGACTTGCCCTCACGTGGGAGTATGGGTGCTCAGACCTCCACATCCGGGCCTCCCGAGGCACTGGGGGCCCCTGGCGTCAGGAGCAGGGCCTAGGACACGTGGGCAGAGGGGAGGGCCCCGGGTACTGCTGGGAATCCCGGTGAGGATGTGGAAGAGCCCCGGGGGACCCCACACCCCAGCCCAGAGTCGGTCCCGGGAGGCAGGCCGAGTGCGGGACGGGGCCACGCCGCGTGTCTGTGTGCATATCCCGACCGGCGCATCCGGGTCCCTGAGACGCTGCCCGCCCCTCATGTCCGTGTCCTGGAGCCGATGGGCCGGCAGGCAGTGGAGCCAGGCAGAGGCCCAGGCGCCCAGGGAGCCCCGCCAGCACGGGTGGGGAAGAAGGGCCCAGGGAGCCTGTCCCCCGCCCCCCAGCTCAGCCCCCTCTGTGAGCCCTGGGAAGTCCCCAGGCTGGGTCGCCGTCCTGATGGAAAGACGGTCACTCCCTGTCCCCGTTGGGGTCCGGGCAGAGGGGAGGGCCTGGGTGTGAGCGGCCCGGCCTCGGGACGGCTGCACGAGGAGCCCGAGGTCTGCTAGGGCTGGAGGCGAGGACCCCCGAGGGACTGAGACCCCCGAGGGAGTGGGTCCCCAGGGAGCCCCCAGCACCACCGCCCTGCCCCTGCTTCAGCCTCGGGAGGCTGCAGGGGGTGGACAAGTCCTGAACTTCATGGCCGTTGGTGCGATGGGGCCTCCCACACTGTGGCCATTGGGCTGGAGCACTGCCTCCAGGGTGTGGGCGGTGGTGGGGTCGGGTGGGTTGAGGGGCAATGGCCCACGTGTGGCTGGCAGCCAAGGCCAGTACCACAGGGGCACTGCAGCCGTAGGGACACAGACTAGACTGGGTCCTGGGAGCCCCCGGGCCCGATGACCACCTTGGGCTGCCCTGGCTTGCCAGCCAAGTCTCCTAGAGCCTGGGGACTTGGTGGAAGGAGCAGGGTAGGAGCCCGCCCGGGCCAACCTGGGTCCTAAGGGATTGAAGGTGAGGACCAGAGGAGGACTGATGGACCCTGGGCCCTAGCACGTGCAGTCCAGGGAGGACGGGAGGCCCCCGTGCAGGATGAGCCCATGCTGCCGATCCTGATGTCCACGTCTGGGTGTTAGGGCCTGAGGGCTTGTGCTTCAAAGGAGCATGGCCTCGGGGGTGGTTGGGGTGAGGGTGTGTGTGGAGGGCACACGACCTGCGGGGAGTCAGGGTGAGGACCTTGGGGACGGCCTGGCTCACCCCACCCGGCCAGGTGAACAAAGAAGCCAGTGCAGCAGAGTGGGTCGGAGTGAGGCCTTGCCCTGTGGGCAGCCCACGGAGGATGGGAGAGCGCTGGCCCTCAGTGGCATGCTCACTTGTCCCTGGGGCGGGTGGCTGGCAGGAAGGTGGGCTGACCTGGGGTTGGTGATGGTCTTGGTGTGAGGGGCACATGTCCTCTATGGGAGGCTGGGGGCCTGGAGGAAGAGCAGGTCCTGGCAGGATAATGCTGAGGACACTCTCCGGGAGCCTGAGGGCATTGACCCCCAGGACACAGGGGCCGGTCATCAGGCCAGCCCTTCCTGATCTTGCTGGGGGACTTGGGAGGGGGGGGCTTTGCGGCTGTGACCTGCCTGGCCAGGCACACAGGACAGGACGGGGACACAGGACATAACAGGGTACCTCCTCCTGCTCTTCTCCCAGTTCTCAGGGAGCTGAGGACCCCGCTGGGAGAGGTCCCAGTCAGAGTGTGGGAGGAGGCCCACCTGGGGGATAGATGCCCAGGAGTCCCGGGGCCTGCCAAGACTCTATGTGAGGAACCCTGCCCACCCCACATTGAAGGAGTGAGTGGCCCCCAAGACAGCCATCAAGCCCAGGAGGGGATGGCCCTGAAATCCAGGGTGCCCTTCCCTGGCAGCCCTGGGAAGGGAACCCGGGGTGCGGCCTGTCCCACGGAGCCCCTCCTCCTCTCCAGATCCCTGGACTCAGGGAGGAGAGGGCCTGGGCCTGAGGGTCTGGATTCAGGTCAGCAGAGGAGGCGGGTGCCCTGCCCTGGCCCTGGTCCCAGCCCTGGCTGGGGGTCGAGGTGAGAAATGAGGGGGTGCCTCCCACAGCAGGATCCCTAGGGACCATGTGTGGGCCATGGGGAGAGGCGGGTCAGTTGGGCCGACTGATTTCTCTGGGCTTTAGCTGGTGGCAGGTCGTAGCAGGGGGCCTTGCAAGGAGCCAGGCGGGTGCTTCAGGGCCAGCTGTGGAGTCTTCCCAGGCCTTGTGTGGGGTCCAGGTGAAGAGCAAGAGGCCCCCCATCCCAGCCCAGATGGAAGCCAGAGCTGGCTCATCCCTTGTGCATGATCCAGGACGAGTCCTGGAGACTTTGGCAGGTGTGGCCACGGCTGGGCCCCTGGCTTCCTTCTGTGGAGTGTCGGGGCCCTGTGTTCTTGCAGGGACACTTTGGCCTGAGAGAGACAGGGCCGGGGCAGTCCCTTGAGAGGCCAAGGAGGGGACTGCCCCACCTGGCCTGCTGGAGACTTCCCAGAGTGCGAGCCAGCCCTCCTGTCTACACTGGGGCCCAGGGCTAGGCTGGCAGTCTGCACCCTGAGGCGCCTCCTCCTTCTCTCCTGCAGAGACTTCAAGAACTGGCAGGGGAGGCCTTGGTCTGAGGCGAGGGTCCCTCAGGACACAGAGCAGAGGAGGCACAGGCCAGTGCCACTTGTCCAGGTGAGGTTCATGCTCTCTCCAAGCCTGGTGTCAGGGGAGCCCTCTGCATGGGAGCCAAGCATGGCCCCCTGTCAGCCCTGGCACCTCTAGGTCTCTTGGCCAGGCCCCCCCTGACAAGCCCTCCCACCTCTCTTTTCAGGTCACCTCAATTTTGACATCATGTCCGTAGGAAAGAGCAGTGAGCCTTGGAGGCTGGGAGAAGACCCAGAAGAGGCCCAGGGCGTGGTGGATGCCCTACAGTCCAGGGCTGAGGAGGAGGAGGAGGAGGAGCCGGGGGAGGTTTTATCTCCCCGAACTCCTCCCTCTCTGTTTTCCTCCTCCCCTTGCTTATCCTTGTCTGGCGGGTGTTCCGGCGCCCAGGAGGAGGAGTCTGCTAATGAGGGGTCCCTAAGTCCTCTCCAGAGCTCTCAGAGTGCTAACACCTCCCAGGGGGGCAGGGAAGCCAGTGCGCAGTTTGCTGGCCCCAACAGCCCAGAGGAGGTGGGCTCAAGTGGCAGTGAAGGGGAGGAAGATGCTGACTCGTCCCCCTGTGGCAGGGCATCCATTGGCCTTGGCCAGCTCCAGTCTGTTGTCCCCAGCAGCCCAGAGGAGGTAGGGTCAAACCCACCCGAACAGCAGGAAGATGAGCAGCCCCAGGGCAGTTTCCACATGAAGACGGCTGCGCTGGTGATGTTACTGCTCCTCAAGTATCGCACCAAGCAGCCCACCAGCAAGGCAGAGATGCTGGAGATCGTCACCCCAGAATTCCAGGACAACTTCCCCGTCATCTTGCACCAAGCGTCCATCTGCTTGCGGCTGGTCTTTGGCCTAGACGTGATAGAAGTGGATCCCAGCGAGCACTACTACAACCTCAGCATCATCCTGGGCCTCACCTGGAATGGGACGCTGAGTGGTCAGGGGGGCCTGCCCAAGACCAGCCTCCTGGTGCTGGTCCTGGGGTTGATTGTCCTGGCGGATGACTGTGCACCCGAGGAGGAGGTGTGGGAGGCGATGGGGATCATGGGGGTATACGATGGCCAGGAGCACATCCTCTTTGGGGCAGCCAGGGATCTCCTCACCAATGTCTGGGTGCAGGAAGGCTACCTGGAGTGCCGGCAGGTGGCTGGCAGCAATCCCGCCCGTAAGGAGTTCCTGTGGGGGCCCAGAGCACTCCAGGAAACCAGCAAGTTGCAGGTCATGGACCACGTGCTCCAGCTCGGTAACAACAACCTTACTTACTCCCTGGCCCTGTGTGAACAGATTCTGAGATAAGGAAGAGGGGGCCACAGCCCCAGAGGCAGCCAGGCCCTTTCCAAGCTTTGGTGGGGCCGGCATGAAGGGAGGCCTTAAGGTGCTTCCTCCCCGTGTTGTCCTGTTCGGTGTGTAAAGAGAAAGTATTGGGCATTCTCAGGAGTTAAGGGCCAGGGCAGGTTGGCAGAGAGCATGGCCAAGAGCCTCTCTGGGGCCTGGGCTCTGCAATCACCCTGAAATACAGAGCTTAGTTTCTTTGAGGAAGCTCTCAATATTTGTTCCTTGGGATAGAAGGGTTCCACAGCCCAGTGTGTGAGTGACACATCCCCCGTCGCGTTTGTACTTCCCCAGTTCAAGAGTTAAGAATTTTGTCATGTCCTGTAAACTAGTTGGGAGACCCTCCCTCCTTGTTTGGGTTCTGGATGAAATCACAGGGCAATGGCGTTGGAATCTGTTGGAAAGCCCAAGAGTGGAGCAGGCAAGAGCTGGAGTGTGCAAATAGGAAAATAAACCTTCTTCACTTTTGCTTCTTACCCGTGCCGTGTGTCTTTTTTCCAAAGTAACATAGATGTGCGCTCGTGCATTCACTTGGTTTTTCGGGAACGTGAGAGAAGGGTCCTGAGGCCAGGGGAGCCCTGCTGGCGGCTCCCTCACGGCCACACAGCGGCTGAGCTCTGCTCCCTGCAAGGCCCTGTGTGTGAGCAGTGAGGACACGAGGGCCCCGGGGCCACGCTGCCTTGGGGACTGTGTCTAGCGGCCGCTGTCCTGCAGGAAGGTGGGGAGGGGTGCCCTGAGACCTGGGCCAGCCTGCCAGCCCCAAGTGGCAGAAGGATGAGGGGGTGGGGCGGCTCCTGGGCCAGGCTCTGCAGGGGCCAAGGCCCCCGTGGCTGGGGTTCTCTCGTCACGGTGACTCCTTGTGTGCAGCTGATGACCATGATGTTGAGGGGTGACACGCCCGTACATGGAGACAGGGTGCCTTAGGGGTGGGAGCAAAGTCTAACACGGACAATTGCTCTGAGAATTTCCTTCTGGATCATGGACGAACCAGAGAGAGTCATGTCTTCCAGGGGCAGGAGAGGAAGCTGTCCTGCACTCTGGTCCCAGTGCAGTGGAACACAGTGCACAGACTAGGTGTTTTATATGCATCCTGTGCAAGGATTTCCGGAGGAACACAGTCCTATATTCCTTGAAGTGGAGCCCCGAAGACTCTCCACTGACTCTCTTGTTCCTGACCGTGGAAAGTCAGAACCCACGGCATCAAAAAGACATTTAATTTGGTTATCTTGGGTGTCATTGGGACAGCTGTACATCAGCAAGGTCTAGGTTTGGGCGGGGAGAATTGAAG